TGGTAGAGCGCATGCTTTGCATGTGTGAGGCCCCGGGTTCGATCCCCGGCATCTCCAGTTTTTTTTCCCCGACTTTTCGTTTGAAAGTCTCTCCTTGAAGCTGTGCTGCCGCCGGATTTCCCCGGAGGCGGCGCATCGAGAAGTTTCCAGCCGCCCGGGCTTCCGGTGGAAAAGCTGCTTTAAAAAAAAAGAAAAAAAAAGAAAAAGAAAGAAAGAAAAGCTGCTTTAGACAAAGAAAGTAAAACCCCCTTATCCTCCTCCACTCGTGCATTTGCGCCGCGCTCCGGGGGAAAGAACATGGAGAGGAAGGAAAAAGGGAGCTGCCGAAACCCGGGATCGAACCAGGGACCTTTAGATCTTCAGTCTAACGCTCTCCCAACTGAGCTATTTCGGCGGCTGTGGCAGTGCGCCTCCTGCCGCCTCCCCAAGCTTTTCCTGCCGGCCCTGCGTCATCGCCCTCCGCCGGCAGCCGGCCGCCATCGCCCCCTGCCGGCGGCCCCACCTGCAGGCAGAGCCCCCTCGGGCCCTCCGGGCGCCGCCCCCGGGGGCGCTCCCTGACCGCGCCGGTTGGCTTAGGGGTTGCCCCCGCCCCGCCCCCAGAGCAGGAAGCCTCTGTCCGGCCCTCTGTCCGGCCGCGCCCGGACCGTAACCAGCGCCCGCAGACAGCTGTGCGTTCACAGCGGGTGGACGGACGGACGGACGGACGGACCTGCCTGGCCCGGACCTCAGCTCTTTAGGCTCCCTTCTCTGTGCAAACGCACAAGGTCACCCGTGGGTGCAGCGCCCCGGGCAGCGCCCAGGTGCAGGGCGCTGAGCACGCGGGCCCGTGGGGTGACCTCCCTCAGGGCAGCGAGTGGCCCGGATCCGGCCTCCCACCTGCGCGCCCGCGCAGCCCCAGGGCGCCCGGGGCCGCCCTGACTCCGCTTTGGGAACCGGGTGGGAAGGGCTGCCGGGGGGGACCCGCCGGTGGGGGACTGTCCACGATGTGAGGGCATTTGGCAAGGGTGTGCCCGGCACCCGGTGAGCCTGCGGCTCCTCCCCGAATCCGGGAACCAGAGAGTTCAGGGCGAGAGTTGTGCTCAGAAGCCAAACAACCCGGAGCGGTGGGGTGGCGTGGGAGGTGGGTGCATGGGAGGTGGGTGCATGGGAGGAGGGGGCATGGGAGGTGGGTGCATGGGAGGTGGGTGGCATGGGAGGTGGGTGCATGGGAGGTGGGTGCATGGGAGGTGGGTGGCGTGGGAGGTGGGTGCATGGGAGGTGGGTGCATGGGAGGTGGGTGCATGGGAGGTGGGTGCCGTGGGAGGTGGGTGCATGGGAGGTGGGTGCATGGGAGGTGGGTGCGTGGGAGGTGGGTGCCGTGGGAGGTGGGTGCATGGGAGGTGGGTGCATGGGAGGTGGGTGCTTGGGAGGTGGGTGCATGGGAGGTGGGTGGCGTGGGAGGTGGGTGCTTGGGAGGTGGGTGGCGTGGGAGGTGGGTGGCGTGGGAGGTGGGTGCATGGGAGGTGGGTGCCGTGGGAGGTGGGTGCATGGGAGGTGGGTGGTGTGGGAGGTGGGTGCTTGGGAGGTGGGTGGCGTGGGAGGTGGGTGCTTGGGAGGTGGGTGCATGGGAGGTGGGTGCCGTGGGAGGTGGGTGCATGGGAGGTGGGGGCATGGGAGGTGGGGGCATGGGAGGTGGGGGCATGGAAGGTGGGGTGGGATGGGAGGTGGGTGGCATGGGGTCCGGCAGAGAGGAACAGGGGCTGAGAGGACCTGCCGCCTGGCGAGCCCGCGGTACTCAGGCCGGAGGAGGAGGCCCTTGGAGGGACCGGACAGCAGTGCCCAGGCCCTGAGGCAGGAGGAGGGGCCCAGGGGCGGAGCAGCATGAGCCGGGGTGAGAGAGGGGAGAGGGCGATGGGGAGAGGGCGCCCCGCGAGGCCGGAGCTTGCCAGGCCGCAGGGAGAGGCCGTGCCTTGTCTTCCGGTGGCGGTGGCCGCCGGCGGCCTGGTGGCTGGTGAGAGTTCCTCCGGTGTCACATCAGTCCCCCGGAGGCGAGTGTGACAGCGGAGGCTCAGAATCATCTGTGCACCCAGTGGCACGCCCCGAACCCCGAACCCCTTCGGGAGCGAGGGGACCCCGCGGACTGCCCCTGCTCTCCAGGCACAGCTGGCCTTTGGAAAGCATTAGGAGCGGCATCCTGACAAAAATGGAGGGGGAGGGAGGGGGAATGAAGGAAGGAAGAAAGGAAGGGAAAAAGGAAGGGAGGAAGTTGGAAGGAAGGGGCAGGGAGGGAGGAACACGGGAAAGGGGAAAGGAAGGAAATAGGAAGAAAAAGAAAATGGAAGAGCCAGAAGGTGGAGAATGGGGTCAGGGAGTCGCTCGGCCTTCTCCGGGGCCTTCTCCGCAGGGGGGACCATGCCTGGGGCAGGTGGGGATGCGGTGACCGCGGCAGGTCACACAGCCATTGCCCAGGCCTCAGTTGCACCATCTGTCTAATGGGGTGAGGTTGCTGCGGAGACTCACCGAGGGCACGTGATGAAAGCTGCGTAACTGCTGGGGGGTGACCAGGGACATAAATGCAAAAACACCCGCGCTCTGTCCACTATTGAGTAGGTCAACGGCCAGGTTTGCGGGGACAACCGCGAGGCCCACGGCGGGGGGTGCGTGTATCACAAGAGACTTAAAAGGTTGGCGCAGCCTCCCCGTCGGGGAATCGAACCCCGGTCTCCCGCGTGACAGGCGGGGATACTCACCACTATACTAACGAGGACGGGCGCTGGCGGGCCCTCCTCCGCGGCGGTCCCTATGGCCGGGGCTCCTCCTCCTCTCACCCGCCCGCTGCGGGCCGGGCCTCCGCGGCAGAGCCCGGTGCGTGGGCTCCTCCGCGGCCGGAGGACCCGCCTGCACCGGAGTCCGAGCGCCGAGGCCGGAGCGGGGCGCGGGGAGTGCTACTGAGTCTTCCTTTCGCGCCTCAGCCTGGAGGCCCAGGGGATGTAGCTCAGTGGTAGAGCGCATGCTTTGCATGTATGAGGCCCCGGGTTCAATCCCCGGCATCTCCACGTTTCCTTTTTATGACCCTGTTTCGCCTTTTTCACGGTGTAAAGCGGCGGCGGGGTGGGAAGGCGAGCGGAGAAGGGGACCCAGGCCCCCCATCAGCAGACCTGAGAAGGCAGCTCCCTGGGGCCTAATCACAGGGCCCAGATCCTTCCGCCAGGGCAGGGCGGTGGGCTCCGGTGTTCTAGGGGCTTAGGCGAAGGGGGGGAGGGGGGAGGGAGGAAACTGCGCTTTTTTTATTTTTTTAAAATATACATTTTATTGCTTTTTTACAGAGAGGAAAGGAGAGGGAGAGAGAGTTAGAAACATGGATGAAAGAGAAACATCCACCAGCTGCCTCCTGCACATCTCCTACCGGGGATGTGCCCGCAACCGAGGTCCATGCCCTTGACCGGAATCGAACCTGGGACCCTCCAGTCTGCAGGCCGACGCTCTATCCACTGAGCAAACCGGTTGGAAGCTGCACTTTTGGACACACACCCCCGGTGTTCGCGCCAGGCGGTAGGAAAACACCGGGTGTTTCTAGGGAGGGTTTTGCAACCGGCCATCCATTCGGTGCCCGATGCCAGGCGGCCTGCACGCACTGAGCACTGTGAGCGCACGCAGCGCCCAGGTGGCCTCCGGTCGCCCACAGCCGGCATTTCCTCAGCTCCTGCCCTGGAGCCCCGAGCCCGGGGGCTGACAACAAGCGCTGCTGCGTTTTAGGGAGCCTGAGGGTGGGCGGGGCTGCGGGGGAAGGTGGTGCGGGGTGGGGGGGGGGAGCGCTGCTAGAGATCCTTGGGGCGCCCGCCTGCCTGCAGCAGCGGAGGAAGCGGCGCTGCACCCCCCGAGGCGGAGGGGGGCGCTCCGGGCTGCGGGACAGAGCCCACGCGCGGGGCTCGCAGCGTCAGGGAGCAGGGGCTTCCGTCTCCCAGACCCGGAGGGAGCAGGAGGGAATCTGGGCGTGAAGCTCCCCCTGGCGGCCGCGCGGGGAACCAGCGATGGGCCCACAGGCTGGACACCACCAGCCCGGCTGGGAGTGGCCGTGGGGACTGAGGGGCAGATTGGGGGGGCGGCGGGGCAGGGACAGGGCTTGCAGGCGGCGGGGATGTGTGGGGGAGGCCAGGGAGACCCAGTTGGGGGCGCTCTGGGGCCAGCGGCCAGGCAGTGGACAGGAATAGTGAGCATGTCCTGCTGTGGTCTGCCTCACGTCCACGCACTCCGGGACCCTGGCCTGTATACTGCGGGGCCCGCACCAACGGATTTAGGAAAAGCACCAGGTGAAAGTGGGCGGAGCCTGGCACCCCAGGTGACCTCCCTGACACGCAGGTGGTGGCACGTGTGTGGGGAGGGGCACCCCCAGACCACCCATTCAGAGACGCGCCAGGACTATTGGGCTGCCACGCCAACGTTAAAAAAGCATATTTTTTTATTGACTTGAGATGAAGGGGGGCGAGAGACATCAATGATAAGAAGGAAGCATCCATCAGCTGCCTCCTGCACACCCCCTATTGGGGACAGAGCCTGAGCCATGTGCTTTGACTGGGATTCGAACCGTGACCTGCAGGTTTATAGCTCGATGCTCAACCAGGAGGCAGGCCGGCTGGGCCACGCCAAGATTTATCACAGAAGGCACTGCTGGGGCCGGCTTCAGGGCGCCCCCTGGCGCCCCCTCTGCAGGCGAGCCTGGGAGCCCCGCCCGCCACAGACACCCCGAGGAGGACGGACCTGCAGCCGCCCCGTTCTCAGTGGCTCGGTCTCCAGCCCAGCGGCCCCACAGGCGCTGATGTGGCCCTTTAAGAGGGTCAGCGTGTGAGAGGACCCGTCGCCCACCCCGTAGTAGACAGCAGTCGCCCCGGGACAGCTTGCGGGCGGCTGCAGGCCGCCTCCCGATCGGCGCCCGAGGGCTCCCAGGCCAGAGGGACCGTCTGACAGGGGCTGCGCGCCCCCTGGTCTCTAGCCCAGGCCTCGGTCCTGCGGCCGGCCAGCCGTCAGCGGTCAGCGGTCGGGGGCCAGGCCTTCTCCACGTCGGCGTGCATGGCCTGCGGGAGCCACTCGCAGTACTCAGCCAGCAGGTCTGCGGGGCGCAGGGAGGGGGGGGGAAGGGGTCAGAGGGGAGGGTGGGACCAGAGCCTCTCCAGCCCCGGCCGCCCCCTCCCGCCCCCCCCAGCCCCTCGGCCCCGCGCCTGCCCTGCCGCTCACACCGGGGGCTTTTCCTCCACGCAGCCAGCAGGGCGTCCCGGTTGTCGGCTTTCTCGGCCACCAGGGCTTTAAGGAGACTCTCTGTCCTCGGCTGCAGCCTGCGGGCATGGGGCGGGCGTGGGGCGTGGGCGTCTCGCGCCACAGATGGGCCCCCGTCCCCGCTCCGCCCCACCAGCCCGGGCGCCCAGCAAGGCCGTACCTGGCCCATGTCTTCAGCATCGTGCTGGGGCTGGACAGCAGGCAGGCCCGGTAGGCAGCCAGCCGGGGGCAGACCTGGGGAGAGTGAGGGTCGGCGGGGTCCCGGCTCCGCCCGCCTGCCCGCCCGCCCGCCCGCGGCGCAGGAGGGCGCCTACCTGCCCCTCCAGCAGGAAGCGGGCGAAGTGCTTGTAGCGGTCCAGGCCCTCGGGGAAGTCCACCTGCACCGCGGGCAGCGGCCAGCCCACGCGGTCTGAGGGCAGGTGAGGGGCCGGTGAGCCAGGGCCCCCTGGTCCCTCCCGGCCGGGGCCCGCCCACAGGGACAGGCGGCCCCCCTCCCCCCCACACACACAGGGTGTGCGGCCCAGGGGGTCGCTCACAGAACACGCTGTCCCGGTGGCAGAGCACGCGCCCCCTCTCGGGGCAGTAGGCGGGCGGCGGCGCCTCCAGGGGCCTGCTGAACTGGCAGTAGGAGGGCAGCAGCGCCGGGATCCACTGAACCTCCACGGCCGAGACGCCTGGGGAGCGCAGGGGCTGGGTCACAGGGCGCCGCTGCCCGAGGGCCCGGCCCGGGGCTCAGGGGGCGAGGCCGGGGCCAGCCCCCGCCCTGCCACCTCTCTTCCCTCTTCTTAAGCTTATTCCATTCACTTCGGAGAGGAAGGGAGATGGAGAGAGAATCCTGGACCGGCTGCCCCCTGCACGCTCCCTACTGGGGACCAAGCCTGCGACCTGGGCCTGAGCCCTGGACGGGGCTCGAACCCGGGACCCTGCAGCCCGCAGCCCGCACTGTGCGGGGCGCACCTTTCATGTACATCTTGGTGGTCTCCACCACCTCCTGGTAGACCACGAAGTCCGGCAGCTCCCGGAAGAGCACGGAGCTGGGGTGGATGAAGACGGGCTGATCCAGCAGCGGCGTCTGGGGGAGGGGGGGGGCGGTGAGCCAGGGGCTGGGGGAGGGGCTGGGGGAGGGGCTGGGGAGGTTGGGGTCCCCCCCCCCGCGGGCCCCACCTTGTAGGCGTTCCTCCACGTGTCGTCCAGCAGGTCCTCGCTCTGCACCCTGCGGGCCAGGTGGTCGCCCAGGCCGGCCGCCACGATCTGCCGCAGGCAGGTCAGCTGGTGCTCGGACGGCGGCGGCATCTTGGGGTCCACGAAGAGCCCGGCCTCGGGGCACACGGCGTTCACTGGGGGTCGGGTGAGGATGTGGGCCCGGGGTGGCGTCGCCCGACGGGCTCAACGGGCTCAACGGGCAGCCCCCCGGCACCCCGGCCGGCCGCCCACCCAGCGCCGTCCCCGCCCGCGGACGCTGCCCCGGAAGCAGTGGGATCCAGCCAACTGCCTGCTGGCCCACAAGGGGGCGCCGAGCATGGTCGGGGGCCAGAGGCGGGACCCGAGGGTGGAGAGGGTCGCACCATGAGGAAAGGGGAGCCTGAGGCCTGCGGCCGAGGGCCGTGACCTCAGGGACCGCTCTGGGGCCATGACCTCCGTCAGCGAGCAGGTGGAGCGGCGGGTGGCGGGGGCGCCTTTACACAAAGGGGGCTCTTCGGGCGGGGAGCGGGGACCGGGAGCGGGGCGGGTACCTGCGGTGGTCAGCTGGCCCCGCAGACGCCGGATCTCCAGCACGGCCTTGTACCGCAGCCCGTGGGCCGCGCAGAACTGGGGCGAGCAGCCCGCGTACTCGCAGGCCCCCACGGCGCCTGGGGGAGAGGGCGCTCACAGCTGTCCCCCCGCTGCCCCCCGCTCCCCGCCCCTGCCCACGCCCACGCGGGCACTCACCCAGCAGCACCATGAGGTCCCCGAGCTTCAGGGCGGCCCCGCGCCCGGCCCAGGCCCTCCTCGCCTGCGCCACGCGGGCCCGCCTGGCCGTCAGTGCGGCCAGCTCCTCGTCGCTGGCGGCCGGCCTGCGGACACAGACAGCCCGGTACCGCCCTGGCCCCAACCGACCCCCGTCCGCCCCGCCCCGGCAGCGATAAACAGTGGCCTGTCCCCGCCCGGCGCTGCAGGTCCGGAGCTCAGTGTGGAGAGCACCCGCCCGGCCGGCCGGCAGGGGCTCGCTGGGCTGGTCCGGGCACTGAAAGGTCGCTGGTTCGGTTCCCGGGCAGCCCCGGCGAGACCCTCGCCCGGCCGCCCACCTGTCCAGCTCCTCGAACAGCTCCCGCACAGTCATGGCGGCCACGATGGTGATGGCGTAGGGCAGGCAGCCGTCGGGCCGGCTCAGCGCCAGCATCTTGGCGTAGCGGGGCGCCACGGGGAAGGTGGCCATGGTGCGGCCGAGTGCGGTGATGGGGCAGCTCAGCCGGGCCGTCCGCAGCTGCTTCATCCTGGGACGCGGGCCACGGGTCAGCTCGGGGGCGGGGGGCGGGGGGGCGGCTGAGCACCGCGGGGTGGGGGGTGGGCCCCCCCCGTACCTCTCCGCCTTGGGGGGCGCCTGCAGGGCCCCCAGCGCCACCAGCAGCTCCTCGGCGGCCAGCAGGGCCTCGGCGGGGGGCGGCGTGGGGAAGGGGAAGTTGACCACCCGCTCGATGCCGAGCGCCTTCATCTGCAGCACCAGGTCCTCCACCGGCCGCCGCGCCATCTCGGGCGGCGGGAACGGCTCCAGGTCACTGAACACCGCCGAGGAGTACAGCCTGGGGACGGCCCCGCTCAGACCGAGGACGGACGAGGGGCCCCCGGAACCCCGACTCCCGCAGGCCCCCTGCCCCTGCCTCGCCCGCTCAGCGGGGCCCCCGGGACGGGTGGGTGGCGGTGGTTGGAGGGTCAGAGAGCAGCGGGAGGGGGCGGGAGGGGGCGGGGGCCCGGCCGCACCTGTAGCAGTGCCCGGGCTCCGTCCGCCCGGCCCGGCCCGCCCGCTGGTCGGCGGCGGCCTGGGACACCCAGGAGACGCGGAAGGAGGACACGCCCGTGACGCGGTCGTAGTGGCGCCTCTTGACGCGCCCGCAGTCCACCACGTACTTGACGCCCGGGATGGTGAGCGACGTCTCGGCCACGTTGGTGGCCACCACGCACAGCCGGGTGCCCTCGGGGGGCGGCCGGAAGACCTGGGACGGCAGACAAACCCCGAATCCGGAAGGGGCTCGTGGGGGGCGGGCCCCGGCTGTGCAGCGGGAGGCGGGTGCACGCCGCCCGCCCCGCCCCCCTCACCTGCGCCTGCTTCTCGGGGGGCAGCAGCGAGTACAGCGGGAGCACGTGCAGCGGCAGGGAGGCGTCCGGCGGCTCCTCCCCTGCGGAGGCAGACGCCCTGGCACCCAGCCCGCCGGAGCCCGCCCCCCGCCCCGCGCCCGGCCTGCCTGCCCTGGGCCCGTGGCAGCCGCGCTGCTGGGCGGGCTCGGCCCTCGGGACCAGCACGGCGGGCAGGGAGGCCAGGCTTGGTGGATGGAGGCTCCGAGAGGCTCCCCTGCCCTGCCCGACCCAGAGGGGGGGCCGCCCGCACACGAGGACCTGCTGCCCCGGAGGCCTGGAGGGGCCGCTGGGAGCCTCGGGCGGCAGGGCCCGGGGCCCCGTGCTCGTCAGGAGCGGAGAACCGGGCCCCCGAGGGAAGAGGGGCCGTACCTCCATCTGCCCCATCGTCCCCCAGATCCAGGTCCAGGTCGGAGCCCAGAGCCGCCTCCTCGTCGTCCATCTCCGCCTCCCTGTCCTCGTCCCCTTCGCCCGCCGGCAGCACCGAGTAGCTGTCCAGGCTGATCTGCGGCAACGCCTGTGGGAAACGAGGCCTCAGGACCCCCGCACGCAGGTGCCGTGAGCAGACGTGTGCCGCGAGCAGACGTGTGCCGTGTGCAGACGTGTGCCATGTGCAGACGTGTGCTGTGTGCAGATGTGTGCTGTGTGCAGACGTGTGCAGACGTGTGCCATGAGCAGACACGTGCCGTGAGCAGGCGTGCCATGTGCAGGCGTGTGCCGTTTGCAGGCGTGTGCCGTGTGCCGTGAGCACAGGGCCCAGCCGGCCACCCTCCTGGGCCCGTTTCCTCTCCCAGCACCCGGGAGGCTCAGGACCGCTGGCTGGCACACGGGAGCAGGGGCCCTGCCTGGCGTGTCGTGCGTGCAGCAGGCGGTTAGTGTGACTCAGTAGGGACCCCACTGCCAGGCGCTCAGGGGACATGTGGCGGCACCAGGCCCCTGGGCACGTCAGAGCCACGGCCTCCACCTACCGCCGCCTGGGCCTTCCGCGCCCGCGCCCGCGCCTTCTTGAATCGCCTCGTCTCGGCCGGCGCGTCCCCGGGGCCGCCGTCTGGAAGAGGGGAGGGGCGGTGAGGGGCGCCGGGGGCGGGGGGCGGCGAAGCATCCTCGCCAGGGAGCGGGCCGGCTGGTTACCTGGCGGCCGGCGCCGGGCGTGCGGGAAGGCCCTCCGCAGCCGGCGGCACAGGGCATGCACCTCGGCCTGCCCGGTCAGGAACACCAGGATGCCGCCGGCGGGCAGCGCGCGGTGGATCTTGCACACCTTCCGGAAGCACTCGCCGCCGTAGTCCTCCAGCGGCGTCCGCTTGTTGAAGTGCACGGTCACCGGGAACTGCCGGGCCTCCACCTGCGCGGCCACCACGCTCAGCCCGGCTCCCGCCCTCCGCGCTCCCCGTCCCGGCCTGTGCGGAGCCCCCGCCCCGGGACCGGCCGGCGCACCTTGACGACGGGGGGCGGCGTGGGGAAGAGCCGCCGGTTCTGCGTGAAGTCCTGCACCCGCAGCGTGGCCGACATGATGAGCAGCTTCAGCGGCAGCAGCCTCTGGGGCGGCAGGCTGGGTGAGCCCGCGGCCCCGCCTCAGCCCCGTCCGGGCAGCCGAAGACCCAGCAAAAGGGGGAGCCGTGGGCCAACAGCCCCTCGTGCGTGACCGGGGCCTCAGCTGCCGAGGCCGGACCCGGCTCCACGGGGCAGCAGGGGCGGGGGTGCGGGGGTACGGGGATTTGGGGGTTTGGTAACAGCCGGGCCGCAGCCGCCGATGCAGAGGGAGCCCAGCCCCCCCGCGGGGCCCGGCCGGGGACGAGGGCCCCGCGCCCGCCCACCTTGGCGCGGAGCGCGACGATGCGGGACAGGAGGCCGATGAGGATGTCGGTGTACACGCTGCGCTCGTGGGCCTCGTCCAGGACCAGCACCTTGTACCTGCGCAGCAGGAAGTCCTGGGGGCGGGCGGGGGGCCGGCGTGAGGCGGCGCCGGACCCCGCCCCCACCCCCCCGCGGGAGGCCGGAGGAGCGCCCACCTTCTGGATCTCCTTGAGCAGCACGCCGTCCGTCATGAACTTGATCTTGGTCTCCTCCGTCACGTTCCCTTCGTAGCGGATCTGGTAGGAGACGACCCTGCGGGGCGAGCAGGAGGGGCCCTGAGGTCCCGCAGGCTGGGGCCCCGAAGGGACGCCCCGCCCGGCTGACCCTGGGCCGGGCCGGGGCACCATCCTCACCGTGACGACAGGTTCATCTCCTTGGCCACTCGCTGGGACATGGCCACAGCGGCCACACGGCGGGGCTCGGTGACGCCGATGATGCCGCCATCGCTGGGGGGGGGCAGAGCCGGGGACCCACCTCAGCGCTTCACCCCGTCAGGGCGCGCCCCCGCGGGGACGGGGTGCACCGACAGGCCCCCTCCCCCCCGAGCCACAGGGCGGGACCGGCAGGGCCAGGGCCGAGCTCCGGGGACTCCCGGCCCACCTGGCGAACCCGGCCTCGTAAAGGAACTGGGGGACCTGCGTGGTCTTCCCGCTGCCCGTCTCCCCGCACACGATGACCACGGGGTGCTCGGCCACCGCCTCCATGATGGCCTGCTCCTCGGAGAGGATCGGGAGCCGCAGGCGCTCCTCCTGCGGAGAGGGGGTCAGCGGGCGGCCGCCGGGGCCGAGGGGACGGGGACTCGGCTCCCACACACACGGCGAGGGCAGCGGCGGGCTGGCCGCCCCGGGATGGAGGGCGGCCTGCCCGTCCCCGGCGCCTCACCGCGCGGCCTCATCGGGCACCGGCACGAACCTGCATCTCCGGGGAGCGGTGGACGGGGACGAAGACGGCGGGCTTCGCGGGGGGCCGGGGCAGGGCGGTGGCCGCAGCCGGGGGAGCTAGGGGGCCGCTGGGCTCCGAGCCCCCCTCCACGTCCCCTGCAGGGGCAGGCGGCAGAGGCGGGGCCACCATCCCGGGACCCGCCTCCACCGGCTCAGCGTCCAGGTCCTCGTCTGGCTCCGGCTCCGACTCCGGCTCCGGCTCCGACTCCACCGAGGACTCGGACTCGGACTCCTGCAGCCGGCGCTTGCGGTGGGCGCCGCTGAGGCTGCTGACCTTCTCCGGGCCCCGGGCCGCGGCCTCGACGGCCTTCCTGCGGGAGAGCCAGGGGTTAGCCGCCCGGCAGGACCCGCCACCCGGGCGGGCGGGCAGGCTGCCGCAGGGCCGGCGACTCACCCCCGGGTGCGGTACAGGCGGCCCCCGGTGCCCAGCCTGGACGTGGTGAAGTAGAGCCGCAGCTCGGCCTCCGGGACCTGCACCTCGCTCAGCTTCTGCAGCATCTCGGCGCGCTGCGGGCGGACACGCGCGTCAGCCACGGGCCGCCGGCCACGGAAGGGTCAGCCACGGGAGCGTCGGCCACGGGAGCGTCGGCCACGGGGACATCGGCCACGGAAGTGTCAGCCACGGGGGCGTCCGCCACGGGGGGTGTCACAGCCTCTGCCCAGGGAAGTGACCCTCCCCGTAGCTCTCCCCAGACCCGGCATTTCGGGGCTGAGACCTCCAGCCCCGGTCTCTCTCCAGGCTGGAGGGCCGGCTCAGACCCTCGGGCGGGCGGGCGCACCTGGCTCTTCTTCGCCTTCTGCTCCACGACCCTCTGCAGCGCCTTCCGCTCCTTCTTGGTCAGCGGCCGCTTCGCCTTGGGCGGCGGCGGGGCCTTCGTCCTCCTCTTCCTCCTCGCGGGCAGCACCAGGGCGTTGCTGGCATCGACGCCTTTCAGGGTGTCCCGGTCTGAAACGACGTGTTTGTGTGACCCTCGGCCCCAGGACCAGGAGTCCAGCTGCTGGCAGCACCCGGGGCTCCCCATTAACACTGTTTCCTCTGGGGACCCCCCAACCCCGCCTGTGAGCCCCCGAACGCTCACACGGGACCGGGGCTGCCGGCCCAGCACGTGCCAGGGGTCCCACTCTGCTGAGGGCCAGGGTGCCTCCATCCCAGTGAGTGGCAGAGTGTCCCTGGGAACTGGGGCCGGCTCCCAGCGGGTCTATGAGGTGAAAGCTGTTCTTATGAGGCACCAAGCTTTATTTTTTTAAATCTATTTTTAACTGATTTCTGAGAGGAAAGAGAAAAAGAGAGAAACATCAATGATGAGAGAGAATCATTGATCAGCTGCCCCCTGCATGCCCCCCACTGGGCCCAAGCCCTCCACCCAGACATGTGTCCTAACAGAGAATCAAACTATGGCCTCCTGGTTCTCACCATTGATGTTTCCATCTCTCTCTCCCTCTCCCTTCCTCTCCGAAGCCAATAAAACATAAAAACAGACTGTCACTGGGCCCCCTTCTTTGGGTCGTCTTAGAGGGGAGCTCCCTGACCCCTCCCTGCGCCCCACCCCCCAGGGTGGAGTGCCCTTCGGCTCCCATTGGTCTGCCCTGACCCCCAGGCCCGGGCTCTACCCCCAAACCCAGCCCCCGAGCCTTACCCTCCAGTTCCAGCAGCACGGGCGGCGGCTCCGGGGGGCCCTTCGAGGGCCCGGGGGCCGCCTGCTGGCGTCCCTTGACGTTGAACCGCCGGCGCAGCTTCCCCATGGCGCCCGACCCCGCTCGGACCCGGCGCGGATGCCGGCAGCGGACCCCGCGAGCCCAGCCCACGTGGGTTCCTGCACTACCGCTCCGGGCCGAAAACTTCCGGGCTGTGTTCTCGCGAGAACTGGGACGAACCGGAAGGGGCGGGACCGGAGGCGGGGCTAAGAGGGAGGGCGGGGCCTGGCTGGAGCCTGGGTGGGGCCAATGAGGAGATCCAGTTTAAACCATCACTTGGAAATAATGCTTTCTTTTTCTTTCTTTTTTGAAAAATATATTTTATTGATTTTTACAGAGAGGAAGAGAGAGGCAGAGAGAGCTAGAAACGTCGATGAGAGAGAAACATCCATCAGCTGCCTCTTACACACCCCTCACCGGGGATGTGCCCACAACCAAGGTACGTGCTCTTGACCAGAATCGAACCTGGGACCCTTCAGTCCGCAGACCGACGCTCTACCACTGAGCCACACCGGTTTCAGCAGAAATAATGCTTTTTCTGAATCCTGTAGTTATCTTGCAAAAGAACGGTAATATCGTGTCGCCGTTTTTTTTTTTTCTGCTAAAAGCATTAACCCATGAAAGGCAAATATTTAAATCATATCATTAAAATGAAAAGCTGAAGACACCAGGAGTTATTTTACTTTTTAAATATATTTTTATTGATTTTTTTACAGAGAGGAAGGGATAGGGATAGAGAGTTAGAAACATCAATGAGAGAGAAACATTGATCAATTGTCTCTTGCACACAACCAAGGTACATGCCCTTGACTGGAATCGAACCTGGAACCTTTCAATCCGCAAACCGACACTCTATCCTCTAAGCCAAAACAGCTTCAGCTAGGAGTCATTTTAGACATTTAGAAAAGATAAGGTTACTATTTATTTATTTATTAATGTTCGATTCCCGGTCAGGGCCCAGGCCCGGGTTGTGGGCTCCATCCCCAGTGGGGGACGTGCAGGAGGCAGCCGGTCCATGACTATTTCTCATCATGGATGTGTCTATCTCTCTCTTCCTCTCCTTTCCTCTCTGAAATCAATAAAAAATATATTTCCTTATAAAGAAGGTTGAGCCCTGGCTGGTTTGGCTCAGTGGATAGAGCATCGGCCTGCAGACTAAAAGGTCCCAGGTTCGATTCTGGTCAAGGGCACAGGCCCAGGGTGTGAGCTTGATCCCCATTGTGGAGTATCAGGGATGTTTCTATCTCTCTCTCCCTCTTCGAAATCAGTAAAAATATATTTAAAAAGCTGAAATCAGCCGAAACCAGTTTGGCTCAGTGGATAGAGCGTCGGCCTGCGGACTGAAGGGTCCCAGGTTCGATTCCAGTCAAGGGCATGGACCATGGTTGCGGGCACATCCCCGGTGGGGGGGGGTGCAAGAGGTGGCTGATGGATGATTCTCTCTCATCGATGTTTCTAACTCTCTATCCCTCTTTCTTCCCCTCTGCAAAAAATCAATAAAATATATTAAAGTAAATAAATAAATAAAATAAAAAGCCGAAGCCGGTTGGGCTCAGTGGTAGAGCGTCGGCCTGCGGACTGAAGGGTCCCCGGTTCGATTCCGGTCAAGGGCATGTACCTTGGTTGCGGGCACATTCCGCAGTGGGGGGCATGCAAGAGGCAGCTGATCGATGACTCTCTCATTGATGTTTCTAACTCTCTATCCCTCTCCCTTCCTCTCTGTAAAAAAAAAATCAATAAAATATATTTTAAAATATATATTTATATTAAAAGAAAGTACACATATAATACTTTAATTAAAAAATGAGAAAAAGCCAGGACCGGTTTGGCTCAATGGATAGAGCGTCGGCTTGGGGACTGAAGGGTCCCGGGTTCGATTCCGGTCAAGGGCATGTACCTTGGTTGCGGGCACATCCCCAGTAGGGGGTGTGCAAGAGGCAGCTGATCGATGACTCTCTCATTGATGTTTCTGACTCTCTATCTCTCTCCCATTCTCTCTGTACAAAAATCAATAAAATATATTTTTTTAACAAAAGAGAAAAAAACGCAAAATTATTGGTACTGAAATAAGCATGTAATCAGTAAAAAAAAAAAAAAAAAAAAAAAAGAGAGAGAGAGAGACAAACCCTCGCTGGTCAGGGCGGGCTTCCAGGGGGTGGGGGAGGGGAGACACGGCGACCTCCAAGCTGTCCGCCCCCCAGTTCGGAGGGGGCGGGGCTAGATATGGGCGGGGCCTTGCGCGGGGCGGGGCCGCCGTGGGCGGGCCGTCAGTGGGCGGGGCGGGCGGCTGGCGCAGCGCGGCGGCGGCGGCGGGCACAGCGGCGCGCGGCTCCCCAGCGCGGTCCCCGGCGCCTCGCGGCCCTCCTCCCGGCCCCGCGGCCCCGGCGCGGCCCTCCCGCCCGTCCTCCCCCCGGACCCCGCACCCTCCGGCCCGCGATGGGCGCGCGCGCCGCGGGCCGGCCCCGGGCCCGGGCGGGGCTGCTGCTGCTGCCGCTGCTGCTCGCGCTGCTGGCGGCGGGCGCGCAGGGGGCGCGGGGCCGCGGCGGCGCCGAGAAGACCAGCTACCGCCGCGCCGCCGGCCCCTTCTGGCCCAGCGCCGCCAGCCTGCTGGGCGAGGACAACGTGCGCGCCGCGCAGAAGGTGGGCGCCGCCGCCGCGGCCCCGCGCCGCCGCGCACCTGCGCCCGGGCCCTGCGCGGCCTCCGGGGCCGGGGGCGCGGGGGCCCGGGGTGCGGAGGCGGCCTTCGGGGCCGGGGGCGCGGGGGACCGGGGTGGGGGCGCCGGGGCCGGGGGCGCCGGGGACCGGGATCGGGGTTGGGGCGCCGGGGACGGGGCTGGGGTCGCCCGGGACGGGGCCGGGGGCGCCGGGGCCGGGGGTGCGGAGGCGGCCTCCGGGGCCGGGGGCACCGGGATCCGGGGTGGGGGCGCCGGGGGCCGGGAACGGGGGTGCGGAGGCGGCCTCCGGGGCCGGGGGCGCCGGGGACCGGGGTGGGGGCGCCGGGATCGGGGTGCCTCGCCTACGGCCCCCCTGCCCTGTGCCAGCGCCGGGCCTCGGGGCTCCCCCCCGGCGCCCGCTTCTCCTTGGAGCGGACCTTGCCCCCCGGGCGCCAGGGCCCGGCCTCCCGGCTGCGCTGACGCCGCCGCGCCTCGCCCTCACCCTCGGCGTGTGAATGGGCCCCTCTGTGAGCCAGGCACCCTGCCCCCCGCCCGGGACCCCACATTTCCTCCCCTGGGCCCTCCTGCCTGATGTGGAGACATTTATTTTTTTAAAAAACACCAAAACGTTTACTTTACAAAAAAAGGAAGGAGCGATGCGGCCGTCCTGTCGCTCCGGCAGCTGCCACCCTCGGGCGGGCCTCTCCGGGGGGGCGATGGGTTCACCCCTTTAGGGGTTCAGGGGCCGCAGCCCCCCGGAGGGAGCGGAGCCCCGGGAGGAGCCCAGAGAAGCGCCCCGCTTCCTGCTGGGCCCTGGGAGGCACGGGCCGTGTTGGGGCGAAAGTTCACCCGCGTCTGACTCCCCAGGAGGAGGAAGTGGACGGGCCCAGCACGTGGTGATGGGCTCCCCGGGCGCAGCCTCCTTCTCTTCCGGGTTTGGGGACCCGGAGGAGTTGGGACTCCACCACTTCCAGAGGGGGGGCTGTGGCTCAGTCCCTTCCTCCTGTCCAGTGGGGACAGTCCTGCCGAGAGCTGGTGCCTGAGGAGCCGGGACTCCCCACCGGGAGTCATGGGTGCGATCCTATCGGCCAGGGACCCAGCAGCCAGGGCACCCAGCGGCCAGGGCACCCATTGGCCGTGGCACCCATCGGCCGGGGCACCCAGCGGCCAGGGCACCCAGTGGCCAGGGACCCAGCAGCCAGGGCACCCAGCGGCCAGGGCACCCATTGGCCGTGGCACCCATCGGCCGGGGCACCCAGCAGCCAGGGCACCCAGCAGCCAGGGAATCCATCAGCCAGGGCACCCAGCGGCCGGGGCACCCATCGGCCAGGGACCCAGCAGCCAGGGCACCCAGCGGCCAGGGCACCCATTGGCCGTGGCACCCATCGGCTGGGGCACCCAGCGGCCAGGGCACCCAGTGGCCAGGGACCCAGCAGCCAGGGCACCCAGCGGCCGGGGCACCCAGCGGCCGGGGCACCCAGCGGCCAGGGCACCCAGCGGCCGGGGCACCCATCGGCCAGGGACCCAGCAGCCAGGGCACCCAGCGGCCAGGGCACCCATTGGCCGTGGCACCCATCGGCTGGGGCACCCAGCGGCCAGGGCACCCAGTGGCCAGGGACCCAGCAGCCAGGGCACCCAGCGGCCGGGGCACCCAGCGGCCAGGGCACCCAGAGGCCGGGGCACTGGCAGCATTGCCGGGCTGGGCTGGAAGGACCCACTGACAGGTGTAGACCCCTCATTGTGTCCTGTTGGTCTGTGTAAGCTGTTCTGCACCTTCTCCCTCTCTCTCTCCTCACCCGGGACATTTTCCGTTGGTTTTCAGGGAGAGAGAGGGAGGAGAGGCAGAGAGAAGCATCGATGTGAGAGAGACACACAGGGCCTGGGCCAGGGAGTAGCCTGCACCGGGGTCCGTGCCCTTGACCCGAATCGAACCAGGGACCCTTGGGTCTGCAGGCTGGCGCTCCATCCACTGAGCTGCACCGGCCAGGGCTGCTTTTGTTTTCAAAGAGCCTGCATTCCCTGTAGGTATAGAGATCCTCCCTCGTCGTCGGTTTTCGGTCTGTTTTGCACTGTGGACGTACGCTGTTTTAATTTCCCCATCAAAACCGGGAGCTCGGACCTCCGTGCCGAGAGCAAATCACGTGAAGGCTGTCCCGCCGTTTCACCCGCCCCTAACGGCGGCCGCGCTACCAGTTTCCTGTCTGTGCCCCTTAAGCAAGGCCCCGGGAAAGCCTTCCTAGGTGGCTGTTTTTTTTCTCTTTCTCTTTGGGGTGTGTGTGCACTTAGACAAATTCATCTGCCAATCGTTAATAGAATTGCTGAGTCAAAGGGTCTGGTCTGTGCGTTTTTAAATTTGTACTTGAATTGTAACCGGGGCCCTTTCCTGCAGGGAAAGCATGTGAGTTCCCTCACACACACATACACACACACACACACACCCCGCCCATCTCTCCGGCACACCCCACGGGATAACCACCGGGCGGACCTCTGACCACGCACAGTCAGGAAAGCTGAGTGTCTGCTGTGCCCTCTGTACCCAGTTCTTTTAATCAATTCTCTCTCTTATTTTTCCTTCCCATTCATAAAACATGGTTTTGTTGCTCTGAGAGAGAGAGGAAGGTGGAGGGGGAGAGAGAAACACGGGTGTGAGGGAGAACCACCGGTCGGTGGCCGGAAACCAGCTGTCCTCATTTGGTTGGTAGGCCGGTGCTCGGCCGCCGAGCCACACCGGTTCCCCGGGGGCATGCATCCGCCAGCCCGAGCCAGCGCGCACCTGTGCGGCTCCCGTTGGCCCGAGGGGCACAGGCCGGGCACAGCCTGGTGCCTGCGAGCAGGGAGGGCATCGTTGAGCCCGCGGGCGGGCGTCACAGACCTGAAAACCGGGAAGCGGCCGGGCCGGCGTGGCTCCGTGGCTGAGCGTCCACCCAGGAAGGCACTGGTTCAGTTCCCTGTCGGGGCGCCCAGCTTGCAGGCTGCATCCCCCATGTGGGCGGCGGCGCATCTCCCATCTCCCATGGATCCTTCTGTCTCTCTCCCGCTAGCCCTCACGCCGAAGGGTCCCGGGTTCGATTCCTGTCAGGAGCAAAGGCGTGGGGTGCAGGTTCCCTCCCAGCCCTGGGTGGTGTGCCTTTTGGAGGCAGCCAGTGGCTGTGTCTCTCTCTCTCTCTCTCTCTCTCTCTCTCTCTCTCTCTCTCTCTCTCCTTCCCGCCCTCATACCCTCTATAAAAGTCGATGGAAAATGTCCTCAGGTGAAGCCTAACAACAACAAACTGATAAAGAAGAGACACCTGGCCCTGGCCCGTGTGGCTCAGTGGACAGAGCGTCCGCCTGCGGACTGAAGGGTCCCGGGTTCGATTCGGTCAAGGACATGGACCTTGGTTGCGGGCACATCCCCAGTAGGGGGTGTGCAGGAGGCAGCTGACTGATGTTTCTCTCTCATCGATGTTTCTAACTCTCTCTCCCTCTCCCTTCCTCTCTGTAAAAAATCAATAAAATGTATCTAAAAAAAAAAAGAGAGACATCAGGCCGAGGACAGCAGACCTCGGCCAAGGGCCAGCAGACGGCTCCGGGCCGTCGGTCGGACGAGGGCAGGCGGCCCTGGGTGGGTGTAGGGCCCTGCGGGGTGCGCCAAAGGGAGGTGGCACTCATTTCGTTCAGTTCGTGGCCCAGGACAGAGGGTCCCGGCTCGCCGGTCCCCGGGGCCGCTGGCGGCGCACGGTGAGCTCGATGGGCCCGGCCGGTGGCCACAGCCGGGCGGTCACAGCCTCCGTCCCCGCAGGTGCTGACCAGGCTCACGGAGAAGTTCGTGCAGGGCGTGGACGTGTTCCTGGAAGTGCTGTGGAAGCTGTGGGTCGAGATCCTGGACGTCCTCGGCCTGGACGGTAGGTGGCGCCGTTCTGCCCGCTCCGTCCCCGCCAGTCTCCCGGGGTGACTGGAGGCAGCTGGTGGATGTTTCCCTCTCTCTCTCTCTCTCTCTCTCTCTCTCTGTGTCTGACTCCCTATCCCTCTCCTTTCCTCTCTGTAAAAAAAAAAAAAAAAAAAAATCCACAAAATACATTTTAAAAAAACAGAGAGAGAGAGAGAGACCTAGATCCTAAGAGTTCTTAGGACAAGCAAAAATTTTTTTCCTTTTTTGTATCCCTCTGAGATGACGGACGTGCACTGAGCTTACCGTGGCGCTCACGTCCCCCACACGTGTGCCATGATGGCCCCACACGTGTGCTGCGGTGATGCCGTAAGCTCATGTGGTGCGGGGCCACGTCTGTGCCAGCCGACAGGCGGCGGGGAAGCCTGCTGGCGCAGGGTGTGTGTCCCCGGGTGTGGCTGGAGCCCAGCACGGCCGAGGGGAGCGGGCGTGAGCGGTGCCGGCGGACGGGCCGGCCTCACCCCGTGGCCCCTTTCCTGTCCGGCCGTCTCCCGAGCCGCAGGCAGGAGACGAGGGCCTCCGTGTGGGTGCCGTCCCCGCCGCCGCAGCCTCGGCGAGGCGCCGGGTGCTCTCACGGGAAGGGCCGGTGGCGGGAGGCAGGCAGGTGACTGCAGCGCCGGGGCCGGGCCCGGGCCTCCGTCTTTTTGCTCCCCAGTCGGTGACTTCTCTCCCCTCATGGCCCGAGACACCGGCTCCCAGTCCTACTATCGCATCCAATTCCCGGCGGGCAGAGGGACCGGAGGCAGAGGGCGCCTTCCAGGTACTTTTAGGAGAAACACACACACACACACACACAAATACACACACACACAAATACACATACACACACATACACACACAAATACACATACATAGAAATACACAAATACACGCACACACCACACACATCCACACACACAAATACACACACAAATACACATACACACACATACAAATAAACACAAATACACAAAAATACACATACACACCCCACACACAGAAATACACACACAAACACACAAACACACACACAAATACACATACACACACACAAATACACATACATAGAAATACACACACACAAATACACGCACACACAAATACACGCACAGACACACAAATACACATATACACACACACCCCCACAGAAATACAAACACACAAATACACATACACACACATACAAATAAACACAAATACACACACACACATAGAAATACACAAATACACACACACACACACAGCCTCAAAGCGACCACAGAGCATTTCTGCTTCCCTGACCAACACCTTGGCCGCATCGCTGAAAGGGGGATTCTGGGAAATGCCTCGGTCCCAGGCAGCCGGTGTCCAGCCTGCAACGGGGCCTTGGTTGCTGCGAGAGACGAGAAGGGCCCTGGCCGGTGTGGCTCAGTGGACAGGGCGTCGGCCTGCGGACCCAAGGGTCCCGGGTTCGATTTTGGTCGAGGGCACGTATCCTCGGTTGCAGGCTCCTCCCCGGCTCAGGCCCGGTCGGGGCGTGTGCAGGAGGCGACCCCTCCATGTGTGTCCATCCTGTCTATGTTTCTGTCCTGTCCACGCCTCTCTCTCCCTCTCCCTCTCCCTCCCGCTCCCCCTAAGGACCATGGGAAAATATCCTCCGGTGAGGACGGGGACGGGGATGGGGATGGGGATGAGCAACAGCAGCGAAGACAGGAGGAGGGAGGACGGAGGGGCAGTGGCAGGCCGGTCCAGGAGGGGCTCGGCGTGACCGGCCGCCGCCCTCTCTCCGCCCGCAGGCGCCAACATGTCGCAGTACCTGAGCCCGGCGGCCATGGCCGGCAGCCCCGCCCGCGCCGTGGTGTTCATCGGCGTGCTGATGCTGGCCTACTGGTTCCTGTCGCTGGCGCTGGGCCTGGCGGTGGCCGCCCTGCACCTGCTGTTCGGCCGCTGCTTCTGGGCGGCGCGCGTGGCTCTCTTCTCGCTGGCCTGCGTGTACGTCCTGCACAAGCACGAGGGCGAGCCCGAGGCCGCCGCCCTGCCGCTCTGCTTTGTGGTGGCCGCCTACTTCATGACGGGGCCCATGGGGCCCTGCTGGCGCGGCCCGCCCGGCCCCCCGCCCGGGCCTGGCCTGGAGGAGAAGCTGGAGCAGCTGGACGCCCAGGTGCGGCTGCTCAACATCCGCCTCAGCCGCGTGCTCGAGGGCCTGGACGGCGCGGCCGGCGGCAAGTGACGGCCGCGCCCGCCGCGCCCGCCGCGCCCTCGCTCCGCCGGCAGCAGAGGCGGCGGCGGCCGGCCGACCCCGGACTGTCTCAATAAAGGTGCCAGAGCCCGGCGGGTGCTCCCCGAGGGGGTCTCGGCCGCGGCAGACTTTTGGGGGGCCCGCCGGGTGGGGGGGACCCGCGGGGGAGGGGGGGGTCTTTGTCAACAGAGGAGAGGCCCGGCCGGCTGTTCAGTCACAGACGTGTGTCCGGTGCAGCATCCATGGATATTTCCCCTTCCCTCCCCTCCCTCCGGGGAGGAGCCTGCAACCGAGGATACGTGCCCTCGGCCGGAATCGAACCCGGGACCCTTGGGTCCGCAGGCCGACGCCCTGTCCACTGAGCCACACCGGCCAGGACCCTTCTCATCTCTTGGCAGCAACCAAGGCCCCGCTGCAGGCTGGACACCCGGCTGCCTGGGACGGAGGCATTTCCCAGAACCCCCTTCCGGTCCCCCCGCGCTCAGAGAACGCCTTCTGGGAGGCGGTTTTTGTGAAAGAAAGGCCGGTCCCCGGAGCGGGAAGAGGACGCTCCCTCGGCGGTCCGGAGAAGGGACGGAGCAGGCGTTCCCCGGGCGGCGAGCGCGGCCGGCAGCCCCATCGTCCCCGCGCCTCCACCAGTGGACGGTCGGGCTCCGCGGGAACGCTCTCCTGGCCCGGAGGGGCCTGCCACGCCCCTGCGATGCTCTTCAGGCGGAGCTCCGCCTTTTAGAACACCCCAGCGTGTCCCCGCTCCTGTCCTGGGTGTGTCTGAGGCTCCAGGCTCTGTAAAGGGACAGAAAGACCCGCCGGGACCGGGGGAAACCCTGTTGCGGGCTTCTGGCGTGTCGGTGGCTCTTGTGCAGTCCTCACCCGAGGGTGTTTCTCCAGTCATTTGAGGGGGGAAGCAGGGGGGGAGAGGAGAGGGAGAGGCAGAGACACGTCGGTGGGTTGCCTCCTGCGTGCGCCCCGGGCAGAGGCCGGGCTTCTGTTGGGGCCTGTTCTTCCCCCCGGGGAGCCTGGGAGTTTTTTTTCCTTTCCGCATTCCATGGCCGCCTGTGGGGTGTTTGACCTCCGGCACCCCGTCCGTCTCCGTCTCCGTCCTCTCTTTTGTACGTGGGAAATGTATTTTTGTACCATGTCTCATACCTTGAAGAGAAACCTTTTTATATCTCCGGGGGCTGGGAACGGGGGTGTCACCGATCGCCCCGGGTGACGGAAACATCGTGGTGAGAGCCGCCGTGGTCAGCGAGGCCTCTCGCTCTGGGCGTCTCCGTCCGCGTTCCCTTCCCGGGGCTGCGGGGAGGACGGGGGCAGAGGACAGTCCAGAAAAAACACCAAAAAGGCTGGTGTGTGTGGTGGCTGTGTGGGCACCGACATTGACAGGGACCTCGCGCTGGACGGCTCCGAGCGCAGGGGTGGGGGGAGCCTTCCCCGTGTCCAGGTTCTGGTCCCACACGCCTCGGGGTGACTTGTCCCTCCCCAGCCGCCCGGCATCCAGGTCCTGTGAGCCCAGAGGTCGCTGGTTTGAGTACCGGCCGGGGCACAGGGGGCAGGCTCCATCCCCAGCAGGAGGCAGCTGACCCATGAGTCATCATTGTTGCTTCTATCTATCTCCCGCCTTCTCCTCTGAAATCAATAAAAATATATTTAAAATAGAACAAAAAACACACACACACTCAAAAGAAGAAACTCCTGAGGCCCTTTCCCTCCCCACAACTTTATTTTTCTAACAAGAGATCGCTGTTCTGCTCAGTTTTTGTTCTTGGCCATTTGAGTTGTTGGACTTCTGCTTGTGAATAACAGAACTTCCACGGAGTGGCCAGATTATTACCTCTGAACACAGAGTAATCTGGCCGCTCAGTATATGAATGCGTGCGTGGGTGGGGTCCGGCCAGCCTGGCCGGGGGGAGGGGACGTGGGCAGTTGGCCGGCCTGCCTGCTGCTCGCACTCCTGGTCAGGGGACAGTTTGCGTAGTTGCCTTTCATTCTATAGGACGGACACGGAGCGGCCAGGTGATTATGTTTTCATCTGGCCGCTCCGTGCCTATCTGGTTGGGCAGGATCTGACGCAGTCCCCGTACACGTGGTGTCAGGCGGCCCTCGTGCAAGGCCCTGCACCCGGGCACGGCAGACAGATGGGTCCAGGGACTGCCTTCCACGCTCTGCTCTCCCATGACCCCTTGCCTTGTGGCAGCCACGCGGGGACCAGGGCCGCCCTTGTGGGGGCATGCAAGGTGGGTTCTCAGTTGCATCTGAAAATCGGGCAGCGAGTATCGGCCGGGACCCCATGTTCCCACATCGTCTCGCAGACTTAAAGGTGTGAGCTCCACCTCTGAGGGCCGGGCGATGGATTCCTGGCGATGGAGGCGGTGATTCGTGCTCCCTCCAAGTTCGGCTAAGCCATTTCTCTCGTCGTAACTGGAAACCCCTTTGGTGAGGTGCCCATTGTCCACAGCGCGTTCCCGATTCCGTACGTTGTGCACATTTGATAGAGCATTTAACTTGACATTGACTATCAATCACCTGACTTGAATATAGTCTTGTGTGTGTGCGCGCGCGCGTGTACGTGTGTCTGTGTGTGTGGTGTGCACAGTTTTAGTGCCATGAGCCTTGGGACGTCGATTATACAAATATCGCATATAGACCTAAATGTATAATAAGACTTGTTTGTAATTTTTTTTTGGCAAAGTGATACATTCCTGTTATGAAAATAACTGGCTTTGCTGTGTAGAGATCTCTGTAGGCTGATTTCAGCACAGAATTAAACTACTGTGAAAACGACAGCTTAATAAATGTCTTATTGTAATAACTGGCTGTTGTATGACCTCCTGAATCTGCATCCTCCCTTCCAGTGAGCCTGTGATTCTGTTCCCCGTCCGAGGACATCAGCTGGGGGGCGGGGCCATCGGATAAAACACAGGATGCCTGGTTCAGAGTGCATTTCAGGTAAACCACAAACACTTTAACTTTTGTTAATCCAGCCAAAACCGGTGTGGCTCAGTGGATAGAGCATCGGCTTGTGGACTGAGGGTTCGGGTTCGATTCCGGTCAAGAGCATGTACCTGGGTTGTGGGCACATCCCCAGTAGGGGGTGTGCAAGAGGCAGCTGATAGATGATTCTCATCGATGTTTCTAACTATCCCTTCTTTCCTCTCTGTAAAAAAATCAATAAAATATATTTAAAACAAACAAACAAAAAACATACCATTTCTTTTTAAAAAAATTTTTTTTGTTAATCCTCACCTGAGGATATTTTCCCCCGTTGATTTTTAGAGGGAGAGGAAGAGAGAGGGATAGAAACACTGAGAGAGACATCCATCAGCTGCCTCCTGCATGCCCCTATTGGGGATCGAACCCACAACCCGGGCAGGGCACCCTGACCTCCTCCTGGCTCATGGCGGGAGCTCAACGAGGGAGCCGGCTGGGCTGTTGTAAAATGCTAAGCGGTAGCTATAACCCCCAGAAGGAAGTGCTCCTAGGGTAGGTTAAAGGATATGAAAAAGTCCTTATTTGGGTATGAGTGGGCTGCTGTATACAGAAACTAGTGGCCCACGGCCTGAAATTCGTGCAGGGAGGGGGGAGGGGGAGAAGGGGTGTGTGGTGGGGAGTCCCTCAGCCCGGCCTGCACCCTCTCCAATCTGGGACATCCCTCTCGCAATCCTAACCACTCACCTGCCTGCCTGCCTGATTGCCCCTAACCACCCTGCCTGCTAGCCTGCTCCACCCCAACTGCCCCCTCTGCCAGCTCTCCCACCCTCAACTGCTCCCCCTAGCTGGCCTGATCACCTCCAACTGCCCCCATTGCTGGCCTGATCACCTCCAACTGTCCCCCATTGCTGGCCTGATCACCTCCAACTGTCCCCCATTGCTGGCCTGATCACCTCCAACTGTCCCCCATTGCTGGCCTGATCACCTCCAACTGTCCCCCATTGCTGGCCTGATCACCTCCAACTGTCCCCTCCCTGCCAGCCTGATGGCCCCCAACTGCCCTCCCCTCCTGGCCTGATCCCCCGTAACCCGGGCCCCACCACCACGGCTTTTGTCCGGAAGGACGCCGGGAAGGCCTCCCGGCCCCATTAGCATATGCCCTTTTGTTGGTCTAGATACCGTGGATTGGGGCGCAAACAGCAAACATTCGTTTATGCCTGCGCTGGAGGCTGCAGGCCAGGACCAGGGTGCGGGTGCTTGGTGTCTGGTGAGGGGCAGCTTCCGGCTTCTCTGCTCTGTGGCCCTTGAACCCTGTCCCCTCACTAACCGAGTTCCCGGATGTTCACTTCCTTCTCTCTGACTTGGGGGGAGGGGGTCCCCCCCTCCGGGCCCCAAGCCCTCTGGGTCCTCCCATACGAGGCGCCCCCCCACCCCCCGTGCATCTCCGGGCGCAGAAATGTTAGGGTCACCGCGCCCCAAGCGCACACCCCTCCTCCGGCCCCGCGGGGTGAAGCGCGGGGACCCGGGCGCCCCGCAGCCACGTGGGGCGGGACCCGCTCGCTCCGCGCCCGTCCGGTTGTCAAGGTGACAGCGCGCGGCCTTCCCAGGCGCAGGGGGCCCCGCCCCGCGCTCAGCTCCCATTGGGCACGCCCTTTTCAGGCCCTCCCTCGGGATTGGCTGAGCGGCGCGGCCTCATGTGCCGGAACGCCTTGCGATTGGCCGGCGCTCAGGTCGCGGCGCGGCAGCCTGGGCTGATGTGGGGCCAGCTCCCCGGCAGCCAATCGGCGTGCGAGCTGAGAGTGGTGCGTGCGCGTCGTGCGGATCCCTCCGCCGCCGCCGCCGCCGCCGCCCCGGGCCCCGCTGCCGGGCAGGGCGGGCGGGACCGGCGGGACCGGCCGGGCGGGTCTCGGGGAGGCCGGGGGACGCGCTGGGATGCCCAGCGGAGGAGGGACGAACTGCGCGGGGCAGCGTTATCAGAGCGGACTCTGCCTGCTTCTCAGCAAATGGAAACTCTGGCTTGGCATCCAAAATAATGATAATAATAATAATAAAATAATAATAATAATAAAATAATAATAAAATAATAATAATAAAAAGAGGGATCAGGTTAGGGAGAGGTGGGGGGATAAGAGATCAACCGAAGGACGTGTAGGCATGCATATAAGCATGACCAATGGACGCAAAACTCTGGGGGGGAGGGGGAGGGCATGTATGGGAGTGGGGTGGGGGGCAATGGGAAGATATGTACACATATAATTAATTAAAAGAAAGAAAGAGAGAAAGAGGGATCGCTTACCCTTTGGGGAAGCACGGATGGGCCTGGAAGAGACCACATTGAGCGCAATAAGCCAAATGGAGAAAGACGTGGCCTCAGTTCTGGGTGGGATCTGATGAACACGGAACAGACGGCCATACCTCCCCGTGGGGCTGGGGAAGCAGAAGAGATGAACCAAAGGCCTTGTGTGCTTACACGCCCGCCGTGGACCCGCCAACAGGGCGGGAAGACCTGGGTGGGGTGGGGTGGGGCTGGGAGAAGATGGGAGGCATGGAGCTTGCTGGCGCAGAGAGGCGTTCAGGGTGACAGACGGTCAGTGTGCCTGGCCCGTGCCAACACCAGCTGGCAGCTTCTCGCTGCCACCCGCCTCGCTGTCCCAGGCGCAGGCGGGAGACAAAAAGCAAACACGTTCGTAATGGGGCGATCTGGTCTCGCCTGGCAAGGAAGCAGGCCTGCAGGTGGCCTGGGCAGGGGCGTGGGGGGGGGCGGGATAATAACAGGGTGTTGGCTGGCCGTGGGGGGGTTAGGGGAGCAGACCAGTCGTGGGGGTGACATGAAGTCGGAACTGATGACAAATGACGCTCCCCACCTACAAGGAAGTGAGGCATCCGGCCGGGGCTGAGTGTGCAGGGAGAACCGGACAGGTGGCCCTGCTGGTGCCAAGGCCCTGAGGCACACTGGGCACAGTCGGACGGGGCCGGCCTCACAGGGCCTTGGGCTTGTATGCACAGTGCGGTTAAATCCATTGGGGCCCTAACCGGTGTGGCTCAGTGGATAGATAGGGCGTTGGCCTGTGGACTGAATGGTTCCGGGTTCGATTCCGGTCAAGGGCGTGTACCTTGGTTGCAGGCACATCCCCAGGGAGGGTGGTGTGGGAGGCAGCTGATCGATGTTTCTATCCCTCTCCCTTCCTCTCTGTAAAGGATCAATAAAATATATATAATAATAATAATAATTTAAAAAAAGCTGTTGGGCCGAGACCGGTGTGGCTCAGTGGATAGAGCATCGGCTTGGGGACTGAAGGGACCCGGGTTCGATTCCGGTCAAGGGCATGTACCTTGGTTGCGGGCATATCCCCAGTAGGGGGTGTGCAAGAGGCAGCTGATCAATGACTCTCTCTCATTGATGTTTCTAACTCTCTATCTCTCTCCCTTCCTCTCTGTACAAAATCAATAAAATATATTAAAAAAAAAAAAAGCCGTTGGGAAGTTGTGAGGGAGGGAGTGATGTGACAGACTCTCATGGGGAAAGGAACATTCCAGCTGCCCTAAGGAGACTGAGGGGGGTTGGTTTTGGGGTGTTAGGGGATTTTGCAATAGTCCCCTTGGGGTGTGTGGTGGCGTGGAGTAGTTGGAGAGGTGGGGACGATAAGAAGGGGGATGGAGAGACAGATCTTTTTTTTAAAAAATATTTTATTGATTTCTTACAGAGAGAAAGGGAGAGCGACAGAGAGCTAGAAACATCGATGAGAGAGAAACATTGATCAGCCGCCTCCTGCACACTCTTTACTGGGGACGTGCCCGCAACCAAGGCACATGCCCTTGGCCGGAATCGAACCCGGGACCCTTCAGTCCGCAGGCCGACCGACGCTCTATCCACCGAGCCACACCGGCCAGGGCGAGAGATAGACCTTTAATAGTTACATGGACGGTCCGTAGAGACGCCTGGGGACCCTCCCCTCCCCAGCTGTTACTGACAGACTCCCGTGTTGGGATCAGGTGGGCTCGCCATGCCCCGTGGGCGGTGGACGCACCGGAGGGAAGAGAAGCCCCCGTGGGAGGGAGGGGCGGGGTGGGCGAGGGCAGGCAAGTGAGTGACCTTTGGCAGAGGCTGTGACCCCAGCACAACCACGTGACTCTCACCAGGGTGACAGGTGCTGTCCCTTCAGCCAGGGGGGCGGGGTGGGCCTGGGCAGCTCAGCGGGAGGGCCTGGGCCCCCCACCCTCTCCCCCACCCTCGCCCCCACCCCGCTCCCCGCTCGGGCCCGGGTGCTCAGTTGGTGGGCTTTCCTTCAGGGCTGTTTCCAAGTGTCTGTCATAGGACCCCCCCCCCCCCGCCCAGGGCCCCGCCCTATTACCCTCCCCTTTGGTCTCATTGGCTAGAGTTCGGTCCCGCGGGCCAATCGTGGGCTGGGGAGGAAAAGGGGCGCTGTGATTGGCTTAGGCGAGTGGGTCTCTAAATGGGGTCTCTCCATGGGGTTTCTAAATGGGGTCTCGTTGATGGTCCCTGGGGCGGGGTTAGTGAAAGGATTTCCAAGAGTGGAGATGGGTGCGGCGGTCCCGCACCCTCTGAGCGCCCATGCACAGGCTTCTGAGGACGCACCCGGCTCTGGACGCACAGAGCCAGCCCCCAACGTCTGCGAGAACGGCCCCACTCCCCCCCCCCCCTCCTCCTCCTCCTCCTCCTCCTCCTCCTCCTCTTCCTCCTCCTCCTCCTCCTCCGGCTTGGACAGCTGGCCTCAGGCTCCGGGCTGGCCCGGATGGCTGACCGCGGAGGCAGTGACGCTTACTGGACTGGCACCGACTCTTTAATTTTTTAAAAATATATTTTTATTGATTTTTCTTTTTTTTTAACAGAGAGGAAGGGGGAGGGATAGAGAGCTAGAAACATCAATGAGTGAGAAACGCCGATCCCTTGACCGGAATCAAACCCGGGAGCCTTCAGTCGGCAGGCCAATGCTCTACCCATTGAGCCACACCGGTTTCGGCTCCCGGCACCAATTCTTTTAACGGAAAACGCAGTGTCTCCCCTACTCGTAAGCTTCCCCGGACACACGAAGGGACATCAAAGAATACGTTAAAAAAAAGAAAATGCAGCTTCTTCCTGATTCGCTGTGCATGAGTCACTAAGACGAAGAGAAAGTATTTTGTTGAATCACCCCACCGCCTCTTCATTCCAGGGACAGCCGTGCCTCCTCCCACTTGTTAGCAGTTAAAAAAAAAAAGAAAGAAAGAAAAAGGCCAGCCCTAACCGGTGTGCCTCAGTGGATAGAGCATCGGCCTGCGGACTCAAGGGTCCCGGGTTCGATTCCGGTCAAGGGCATGGACCATCCCCAGTAGGGGATGTGCAGGAGGCAGCTGATCAATGTTTCTCATCGATGTTTCTAATGCTCTATTTGCCTCCCTTCCTCTCTGTAAAAGAAAAAAAAAAGCAATAAAATATTTTATTGGTAATATGGGGACTGGTAAGGAGTGTACACATATAATATAAAAAATGCAAAAAATATTTAAAAAAAAACCCACAAATAATGAAATGGAGACAATACAGGATGTCATATGAATCTTACAAAAAAAAAAAAAAAAGACCAGACCCCAACCAGGTGGCTAAGGAGTTGAGTGTTGACATAGGAACCAGCAGGTCACGGTTGGATTCCGGGTCAAGGGCACAGGCCCAGGTGGCAGGCTCCATCCCCGGCGGGGGGCGTGCAGGAGGCCGCTGGTCCATGATTCTCTCTCACCATGGATGTTTCTCTCCCTCTCTCTTCCTCTCTGACACCAATAAAAATATATATTTTAAAAAAAGGGGACAAAAAAAAAGGGTGAATGACTGAACCGCTGACAACCACCGGCTCCTGGCTCCCTGGGCTGCTAGAACCGCCTGCGCCCCAGGTGAGCGCGGGGAGCCCGGGCCCCAGGCGCCTGCGGCCCCCCGGACTCCTTTGCGGGCGCTGCGCGGCGGAAGGTTACACGAAGGGGCGTGGCCCCGGGGCGGACAGGTGGGCGGGGCCTCGGTGGGCGGGGCGCCGGGGCCGCGTGGGGAGCGGCTGCGCCCGGCTCAGTCCACGCTCCGCCGAGCCGCTCGCGCGTCCCGCCGGCCCGCGCCCCGCGCCCCGCGCCCCCCGCAGCCATGTCCAACGAGATCGTGGGGTGCCGGCTGATGTGGGAGCCCGACAGCAAGAGGAACACGCAGATGGACCGCTTCCGGGCGGCCGTGGGCGCCTCCTGCGGCCTGGCGCTGGGTGAGAGCCGCCGGCCCCCGGGGGACCCCCGGCCCAGCCCGCCTGGCCCGGAGCCCGCTGCCCGGCCCCCCCTTTCCCGGACGTGGCCCTCAGAGCCGCTCCTCATCACCCGAAGGGCCCCGATGTGCGGTTTCCCGGCCAGGGCGCTGGGCTCCTGCCCGCAGCCTCTCCCTGCGCGTGGGGCGTCCTCTCCCGGGGAGGGTCCCCCCTCTGGCCTGGGGACCCCTCAGTCCACAGCGGTCCCCTGCTCCCCAGGTTCCTGCTTGTGCGTTGGGGTGCAGCCTGAGGCTTCCTTTCCGCCTGGCAGCCCTTCCCTCTGTTTGTGGGGTCGCTTGCCAGCCCTCAGTCCCCTGTTCCCCCTCCCCTCCCCACCCCAGGCTGACCCTGCAGGAGCCCGGGACTGTCAGGGCGCCAGGAGGACGGTCCGGGGGGAGCCTGCCTTACCGGCTGTATGGGAGCCGCCTGGCGGGATGGGCAGGGAGGAGGCCTTTGTGCCTTTGTCCCACACCCCTGACCTCTCCCCCCTGACCTCTCCCCCGCTTCACCTCCCCCCTCCCCACCTCTGGGGTCTCAGCTCCTCATGGTTTCTCCCCTCCCCCCTGGGCGGGCTGCACCCCTCTCCTCAGTCAGCAGCAGCTGTCACCCGGCTTGGACGGGGGTCCCCCTGGCTCTGCCCCCGCCCCCGTCCCCCTCCACTCCGAGCACCTCTCCCTCCACCCCTGGCTGGTCCCCCTGCTTCCTGCGTGCCGTGCCCCCCGGCGCTCAGTACCCTGCTTGGAGCTCAGTGCTGCTCGATGCTCAGTGCCCGCTGGCTCCGCCAGAGCCGCCAGGAAGCAGGTCTGACTGCTCACTCCTCGGCCCAGAGGCTCCCCCTGGCTGCTTGCTGACTGTGAACTTGCAGGAGCTGCACCCTGCCCCGTGCAGGCCTGCAGGGCATGGCAGGTCTGATGGCTGCCTCCTGCACGCCCCGCCCCCACCGGGCCTGTGCCCTGACTGGGAATCGAACCCTGACCTCCTGGTTCATAGGTTGCTGCTCGGCCCCTGAGCCGCACGGGCTGGGCGGTAGGTCGGTTCTTGCCGCTTCTCCAGCAGAGCCGGCTGACAGACCCTCGGGCGCAGCCGCAGCCCGGGCAGCGGGCATGGGTGGCGGGCGAGGCCAGGCCCTTCCTCGGGCCTCACCAGACATGCCGCCTGGGCGCCCTCTCAGGGGGGAGTGCCCTGCTTCGGTGCGGGCTCTTTGGAGTGACCGTGCCAAGTGGCTCTCCGGACGCTCAGCTGTGGGCCGCAGCGGGGGCAGTGCCAGCCCGGTGCCAGCCCGGCGCCGGCCGCGTCCCTGCTCTCAAATCCTGCCAGTGGAGCTGGGGTGGGAGCTCCTGCAAAAATAGCCACGCTCCGGGGTGTCAGCTGCCTGCCCCCTGGTGCCTCATGCACCCCAGGACTGGCGGGGTGCCCGTCCCAGGGCCGACAGAATCTCTGCTGAGGGTTGAAGGTGCAGGCTGAGAGGAAGGGAGGGAGAGATGGAGACATCCATGATGAGAGAGAGTCCCGGACCGGCTGCCTCCTGCACGCCTCCCGCTGGGGATGGAGCCTGCAACCTGGGCCTGTGCCCTTAACCAGAATCGAACCCGGACCTTAAGTCCAACCTTGACCTCTTGGTTCGGAGGTCGATGCTCAGCCACTGAGCCCCGCCGGGCAGGCTGACTTCCCGCCCTTTCTCGGTGCCCCGGGAAGAGAGGGTGCTGTTTGTCCCCTCCCTGTAACAGAGGGGGAAACTGAGGCACTGCGTGGGCGGGAGTAACGTGCCTGAGGTCCCACGGCTGAGCAATGGTCAGGTCCGGACTGGACCCCGGCCTTGTGGCTCCGGGGTCCCCGGTCCTAGGCGTGCTGCCGGCTCAGACAGGCGTCCCTCCTCACCGCTCTGTGCCCTTTGGGGACCACGGGGGTGGGGTGGGGTGGGGTGTGCTTCCCTGGAAGTGATGATTCCCCCAATATTCCCCCCCTCGCCATCCTCCTCAGAGGCCCGGGACGCCCAGAGGTGCCGGGGTTCCCCAGGGGTTCCCCAGGGGTGCCGGCTGCTTAGGGACCTGCTCAGACTCCTCCTGAGGCCTGTCTGAGCCGAGCCCTGTCCGTGGTGTCCAGGGAGTTACCACGACCTGTACCAGTGGTCCGTGGAGTCCTACGCGGACTTCTGGGCCGAGTTCTGGAAGTTCAGCGGCATCGTGTCCTCGCGGATGTACGACCAGGTAAGGGGTCCGGTCACGGCCTTCCTTACGGTCTGCCCAGCTGGAGTGCCATTCCAGCTCTTCTCCCCCTCTCTCTCCTTTTCTCCCTCTCTCTTTCCCTCTCTCCCTCTCTCCCCCTCTCCCTCCCTCTCCCCCTCTCCCTCCCTCTCTCTCCCTCTCCCTCCCTCTCTCCCTCCCTCTCCCTCTCTCTCTCTCCCTCTCTCTCTCTCTCTCTCTCTCTCTCTCTCCCTCTCTCTCGCTTTCTCTTAAAAAAAATATTGTTTTCGACTTCAGAGAGGCAGAGAGACCCCTTGCTCGGCGGCCTCCTGTGTCGTCCCCCCTGTTGGGGACGGAGCCCGCACCCGGGCTGCGCCCTGGCCTCCTGGCTCCGCCCCAGCCCGCGGCCGGCGGCCCGCTGACGGCTTTCCGGTGGACGCGGCTCCCAGGAGGCGGCACTTTGGTTGCGGCCGGTCCAGGCCTCAGGTGCCGGTGTTGCCCCTGTAGGTGGTGGACCCCTCCAAGGGGGTGGCGGACGTCCCCGAGTGGTTCGCCGGCAGCCGGCTCAACTACGCCGAGAACCTGCTGCGGCACCAGCACAACGACAAGGTGGCCCTCTACCTGGCCAGTGAGTCCGGGAGCAGCTCGCTCCCTCCTCCCTCCTTCGTCCCCCCTCCCCCCTCCTCCTTCCCTCCCTCCCCTCCTCCCTCCCTTCCCTCCTCCTCCTCCTTCGTCCCCCCTCCCCCCTCCTCCCTCCCTCCCTCCCTCCCTCCCTCCTCCCTCCCTCTTCCCTCCTCCTCCCTCCTCCCTCCTCCCTCCCTCCTCCCTCCCTCCTCCCTCCCTCCCTCCCTCCTCCCTTCCTCCTCCCTCCCTCCCTCCTCCCTCCTCCCTCCCTCCCTTCCTCCTCCCTCTCCCTTCCTCCTCCCTTCCTCCTCCCTTCCTCCTCCCTCCCTCCTCCTCCCTCCCTCCTCCCTCCCTCCCTCCTCCCTCTCTCCTATCCTCCCTCCCTCCTCCCTCCTCCCTCCCTCCCCTTCCCTCTCCCTCCCTCCTCCCTCCCTCCCCTTCCCTCTCCCTCCCTCCCCCCTCCCTCCGTCCTCCCTCCCTCCCCCCTCCTTTCTCCTCCCTCCCCCCTCCCTTCCTCCTCCCTCCCTCCTCCCTCCTCCCTCCTTCGTCCCCCCTCCTCCCTCCCCCCTCCCCCCTCCCTCCTTCTCCCTCCCTCCATCCTCCCTCCCTCCCTCTCTCCCTCCCTCCTCTCTTCCTCCTCCCTCCCTCCCTCCTCCCTCCCTCCTCGGGGTGTTTGCCGAGGGCGAGGCCGGCGCCTTAGCGCCTGTCATCTCCCTCCCTCCCCCCCCCCCCCCTTCCGGGGGATGTCACTCAGGGACCAGCACCTTAGAAAGTCGCCCCACGGGAGTGTAGCCTTGAGCGGGTGTCAGCACAGTCTCAGGCTGAGACCAGCACCCTGTCCGGCTCCGGTACTTTTCCTAAAAAAAACAACTTTATTGACGTCAGAGAGGAAGGGAGGGAGGGGGAGAGGAAGGGAGGGAGGGAGAGGAAGGGAGGGAGGGAGGGAGAGAGAGGAAGGGAGGGAGGGAGAGGAAGGGAGGGAGTGAGGGAAGGGAGTGAGGGAGAGAGGGAGGGAGGGGGGAGAGAGGAAGGGAGGGAGGGGGAGAGAGGAAGGGAGGGAGAGAGAGGAAGGGAGGGAGGGAGAGAGAGGAAGGGAGGGAGGGAGAGAGGAAGGGAGGGAGGGAGAGGGAAGGGAGGGAGGGAGAGAGGAAGGGAGGGAGGGAGGGAGGGAGGGAGAGGAAGGGAGGGAGGGAGGGAGAAGAAGGGAGGGAGGGAGGGAGAAGGAAGGGAGGGAGAGAGAGGAGGGAGGGAGGGAGAGAGAGGGAGGGAGGGAGAGGAAGGGAGGGAGGGAGGGAGAGAGAGGAAGGAGGGAGGGAGGGAGAGGAAGGGAGGGAGGGAGGGAGAAGAAGGGAGGGAGAGAGAGGAAGGGAGGGAGGGAGAGAGAGGAAGGGAGGGAGGGAGGGAGAAGAAGAAAGGGAGAGAGAGGAAGGGAGGGAGGGAGGGAGAGGGAGGGAGGGAGAGAGAGGAAGGGAGGGAGGGAGAGAGAGGGAGGGAGGGAGGGAGAGGGAAGGGAGGGATAGAGAGGGAGGGAGGGAGGGAGAGGAAGGGAGGGAGGGAGAGGAAGGAAGGGAGGGAGGGAGAGGAAGAGAGGGAGGAAGGGAGGGAGGGAGAAGAAGGGAGGAAATGAGAGCTGCCCCCTGCCGCCCTCCGGGGTGGAGCCGGCCCGGTTGGGTGGTTGGGTCGGGTGCTGCGGCCCTGAGCCCTCTCTCCCGCAGGGGAGGGCCGCGAGGAGGTCGGGAAGGTGACCTTCCAGGAGCTGCGGCAGCAGGTGGCGCTGCTGGCGGCCGCCATGCGGAGGATGGGCGTGCGGAGAGGGGACCGCGTGGTGGGTGAGTGTGGGGAGACGGAGGGGAGGGCCTGGTGTGCCTCTCACCGGGGTGTTTGCCGAGGGCGAGGCCGGCGCCTTAGCGCCTGTCACCATCGGGACCAGGCTGTCCGCCTGCCCGTCTGAGGCAGGACCCGCCGGGAGGCTGCCCATCCGATCTGCAGGGTCTCTGCCCAGAGACCCGGCCCCCGGCTCCCTCCCCCTGCAGGATGTCCCCCCCACACCCCGGCTCCCCCGGCCCCCCACACCCCGGCTCCCCGGGCCCCCCACACCCCGGCTCCCCTCCCTCTGCAGGATGTCCCCCCCACACCCCGGCTCCCCTCCCTCTGCAGGCTGCCCCCCCACACCCCGGCTCCCCTCCCCCTGCAGGGATGCCCCCCCCACCCCGGCTCCCCTCCCCCTGCAGGATGCCCCCCCACACCCCGGCTCCCGGCCCCCCACACCCCGGCTCCCCTCCCCCCTGCAGGCTGCCCCCCCCACCCCCGGCTCCCGTCCCCCTGCAGGCTGCCCCCCCCACCCCCGGCTCCCCTCCCCCTGCAGGCTGCCCCCCCACACCCCGGCTCCCCTCCCCCTGCAGGCTGCCCCCCCCACCCCCGGCTCCCCTCCCCCTGCAGGCTGCCCCACCCCCGGCTCCCCTCCCCCTGCAGGCTGCCCCCCCACACCCCGGCTCCCCTCCCCCTTCAGGCTACCTCCCCAATGGGGAGCACGCGGTGGAGGCCATGCTGGCCGCTGCGAGCATCGGCGCCATCTGGAGCTCCACATCCCCCGACTTCGGGGTGAACGTGAGTCGGGTCCAGGAGAGGGAGGGCCCCTGGACCGCTGTGTGCCCGCTGTGTGCAGCCGGTCCAGCCAGCGGGGTCCTCGCAGGAGGTCTAGGTGGTCGGACCCGGTCCCTGGGCGCCTCAGCGCCGAGGGGGGAGGCCTCGGAAGGCCGTGTGGGGCGCCAGGACCGGGATGACCCGCGCGGGGCGGGCAGGGGCTGCAGTGCCTGGGAAAACGGGTTCACGGGGTCAGACTGGGTGGGCCGGGGGCGTGGTCATGGTCATGGGCACAGGGGCTGCCGAGGGGGCACCGGGGTGACCGCCACCACCTCCCCGCAGGGTGTCCTGGACCGGTTCTCCCAGATCCAGCCCAAGCTCCTCTTCTCCGTGGAGGCCGTGGTGTACAACGGCCGGACGCACGGCCACCTGGACAAGCTGCAGCGCGTGGTGAAGGGTGCGCGGGGCCTGGGGGCGGGGCCTGAGCGGCCTGGGGGCGGAGCCTGAGCGAACTGGGCAGAAACGGGGCGGGGCCTGAGCAGCAGCGGGACCTGGGGGGCGGGGCCTGAGCGGCCTGGGTGGAAAAGGGGCGGGCCTGAGCGAACTGGATGGGAAGGGGCGGGGCCTGAGCGGCTGGGGGCGGGGCGGGTCTGGGGGCGGGGCGGGGCCAGGGTGCACAAAGACAGGAGCCCCGAAGGACTCCCCGAGGCCTCCTAGCCGCACACAACAACTCCCTGTGGCCCGGCCGGGGCTCAGGGATTGAGCGTCGATGTAGGAGCCAGGAGGTCACGGTTCAATTCCTGGTCGGGGCACAGTCCCCGTTAGGGTTAGGCGCGCAGGAGGCAGCCGATCGATGATTCTCTCAGGGATTATCTCTGCCTCTCCCTGCCTCTCCGAAACCAATAAAACACATCAAACACACAGAGACCCTGTGGGCCGCGCCAGGGGCGCCGCCAACGCCTGTCCTCACTGTCCTCACTGTCCCCCCAGGGCTGCGGCCAACGCCCTGTCCTCCCTGTCCCCCCCAGGGCTGCCGGACCTGCAGAAGGTGGTGGTGATCCCTTACGTGGCGCCCCGCGGGGAGGTGGACCTCTCCCAGATCCCCCACAGGTGAGGCGGCCGCTCGGACCCGGGAGCAGGGACCGGAGGGGCTTCGTGGCATGGGGTGTGTGTGGGAGTTGTTGAAGCCCTTTATTATCGTTATCATTGTTGTTGTTATTTATTTAAAATGTTTTTATTGATTTCAGAGGAAGGGAAAAGGGAGAGAGACATCAAAAAGAGAGAGAGTCTGGGACCGGCTGCCTCCCTGCACGCCCCCTGCTGGGGATGGAGCCCGCAGCCCGGCCTGTGCCCTGACCGCCTGGGTCATAGGTCACGCCCACCCACTGAGCCTCGCCCACCGGGCTGTTGAAGCGCTTGAGGAAGGGCCGGCCGCCGCTGTGGGCGCTGCTAAGGCGGCCGGAAATGGCCCTGCGCCCGGCTCCCCGGGGAGGGAAATGCCCCTGCGCCCCGCTCCCCAGGGAGGGAAATGCCCCTGCGCCCCGCTCCCCGCCCCTCTCCCTGCCCCCCCTTTCCCCCTCGGGATGGAGGGAGGGAGGGAGCGAGGCTGGCTGGGGCGGAGGCTGCACTGAGCGCTCCCGTCCCCGCAGCGAGTTCCTGGAGGACTTCCTGGCGGCCGGGCGGGGGGACCAGGCGCCGCAGCTGGAGTTCGAGCAGCTGCCCTTCAGCCACCCGCTGTTCATCATGTTCTCCTCCGGCACCACCGGCGCGCCCAAGTGCAATGGTGCACTCGGCCGGGGTGCGTGTCCCCGCGGCCCGGCCTCCCCACGGCTCCCGCCCCCACCCCGGTGCTCCCACCGAGCTCCCGCCCCCGGAGCTCCCGCCCCCGGAGCTCCCGCCCCCGGTGCCCCCGCCCCCGGTGCCCCCGCCCCCGGTGCTCCCCCCATGCCCCCGCCCGCTCACACGGTCTCCCCGCAGGGCACCCTCATCCAGCACCTGAAGGAGCACATGCTGCAACGGCGACATGGACAGCAGCGACATCCTCCTCTACTACACCACGGTGCGGGGCGGGGGCCCTGGTGCGGGGGGGGGGGCGGGGCGGGGGGCCCAGGTGCGGGGGGGCGGGGGCGGGCGGGCGACCCTGGCTCCGGGAGACGGGGGGGGGGGAGGGGGGTGGGGTGGGCGGGCTGTGCTCGGAGGCTTTGGGCTCCTCACCTCTGGCCGCGGGCGCAGGTGTTGGCTGTGCTGGAGCGGCTTCCCGGCCACTCCGCTCCCGCTGCGCTTCCGGGCGCCTCCAGCAGGGGGCAGCCTGCACCCCGGTGCCGGCCTTCAGGGCCTGGGGAATGGATGGGTGCTGGGCCGCGGCCTGGCCATTACGGCAGCCGTGAGAAGTGTGAGCAGCTGGGGGTCGGGTGTGAGACCGGCCCTGTCCGTGTCCGGGAGCCAGGGCGTGTGGCCAGGTGCCGCCCCCCTCCTGGCCTCGCTGGGCCGATCCGGAGGCACCCGCTGAGCGCCCGCCGCCGCAGGTGGGCTGGATGATGTGGAACTGGATGGTGTCCGCGCTGGCCACGGGCGCCGCGCTGGTCCTGTACGACGGCTCCCCGCTGGTGCCCACGCCCTCCGTGCTCTGGGACCTGGTGGACAGGCTGGGGTGAGGGTCCCCGTCTCCTCCCCGTCCCTCCCCCTCTGTACCCCCCTCCGCTGGCCGGGGCCCTCTCTGCCCTGCCTGTGGCTGCCTTCCGCTCTGGGCCTGGGCCAGGGCTGCTAAGAGCAGAGCTGAAGCCCCCGTTCAGCCGGGTTTAAGCCGGGAACTGCGCCCGTTCAGCCGGGTTTAAGCCGGGAACCGCGCCCGTTCAGCCGGGTTTAAGCCGGGAACCGCGCCCGTTCAGCCGGGTTTAAGCCGGGAACCGCGCCCATTCAGCCGGGTTTAAGCCGGGAACCGCGCCCGTTCAGCCGGGTTTAAGCCGGGAACGCGCCCATTCAGCCGGGTTGGCACACAACCAGAGG